AAGCCCCCCACAGAGCCTCAGCCAGCGAGCCCGGGGCCTCCCAGCCTCCCACAGAGACCCGGACAGTGAACCGGGGCCTCCCAGACTCCCATGGACAGCGAGCCCGGGGCCTCCCAGCCTCCCACAGAGACCCGGACAGTGAACCGGGGCCTCCCAGACTCCCATGGACAGCGAGCCTGGGGCCTCCCAGCCTCCCACAGAGACCCGGACAGCGAGCCCAGGGCCTCCCAGCCTCCCACAGAGACTCAGACAGCGAGCCCAGGGCATCCCAGCCTCCCAGAGACACAGACAGCGAGCCCGGGGCCTCCCAGCCTCCCAGAGACACAGCGGTCTGGCCTCTGTCCCCTTATCGGTTGCACGGAAACACTTGCTTCTTAGGGTAGTCAGGCTGAAATGCCCCCACGGCTACCCTGTTTTTAGCCTGCAGGCAGCACCCAAAAGGCCTCAGCCATTCTTATCATCACTGCGTTCCTCTCGCTGTCACCCACAGTGGCCCATAAAAACAAGCAGTATTTATGTATGACAGGGACAAAGGCCCGGCTTGTCCGCCAAGCTTCCAGTGCACCTTGCAGGGTCACAGCCAGCCTGGGGTCGCCCTGCCCCATGTCTCTTGACCTGCGAGGTCCTCCATTCCCGATGCTTGTCCTCTAAGACGCTCCGAGGCCTCCAAGCCCACTGTGGTTGTGCCCACATGGCGCCTGGCTCGATGGGTGTCCTCACACACGTCCTCACCACATTTGTTACTGCCCTTCTTTCCGGGGGTAGCTCTTATCAGGGGTCTCTGGGAAGGTGCTCGCTCCCAGCTGAGGGGGTGGCCTAGGCCTCTCAGGGAGTGGGGAGAGAAACTGGAGGGTATCCGTAGCCGGGCTCCGGGCTGGGTCCTGGGCTCTTCTATGTTCTCAGATGGGCCAGACCCAGGCAGGCCCAAGTGAGGAATCACATCCCCATTGCACACCTGGAAGGTGCCCTTGAGGTCACACTGTCCCTCCAGGCAAGGGTGGGGAGCTACGCTCTTC